AAAAGCACGTTCAAAAGCATATTGAGAACCTTTTTCCTCTGCCTTGAAAGGGTTAAAAAGCGTTTCATATATGACAGACTCCGCATTAAAGGGTTAAATACTGCATTCCATTATCTCTTTTCTAAGCGAAGATCTACGATTTTGAAAAAAAAACTCGTGTTTTGCCTATAGTGCGTCGCCTGTGGGCATTCTTTCATATATGTATGTATGTGCTATATCTACCGTTATATATTTTTTGTCTACTCGGTTATTCCCTGGGGAATTCATGCTTTATTTAAATTTAAAAAATTAAATTACTACACCATTTTAATTAATTAGTGTGTAGTCCAATTTTGTTTTGTAAAAGTTTCGTTAGTATACACTTCAGTTTTTACACATTGAATATAACTGCATATTTATATATTTACGCGTATCTATTTACATTTATTTATGTACAAGTCTACCAAATCTTATTACTTATTGTTACAACCTATCACTTTGCTTGCCAATTGCGAACTGTTTTATTATGTTCTTTCGTTTATGTTACATGCTATATTTATATGAGTGTGTTCTTATGCATACATAGTAATGATACAACATCTCTCCCCCACTATAAAATGATCTAATATATACATTTATTTTTCTAAGATAAGAGAGTGCTGATTTTGTATGATGTTACATGTTAAATATGAAGTTACGAATTAATAAATTTTACATTTTTAAGCAGTTAATAATTCATGAATTTATCTATGTCGTAAAGTCTTTATATCGTTCCGGTACCCTCCGGTTACGTGTTGATCTTCGAACAGTGGTGTCATCTGTATTATTCGTCTCACTTTCCGTTGTCGTCTGACGCTGTGGAGAATCATTCTTCTCTCGGGCTATGGTAGGTTCGTCGGCTATGGGTCGATCGGCTAGGCTCGCTGAGGGCTGAAATGTCGTTGCCTCGTACAGCGTTATCTGGTCATCTTTCCTCTGATCCACTTTTTCCGGCTCTTCTGGCATTTTCCTTGAATGGATCACTCCCTCGCCTACTTTTCTCATTTGGTCCACATGCCTCTTCCACGTTCTACCGTCGTCTAAACGAATGTAGTAGTGTAAACTACCCAGTACCTCTTTGACTATTCCAAACTGCCACTTAGCGCTCGATAGATAATCTCGCACTGCAACTTTGTCCCCTACGAGGAATTGCTTCTTAGGTGGGCGTTCTTGGTCGCTTCTGCTGTTACTTGGGAGCAATAGTTCTAATTTGGATTGGATCTGCCGACCAAACATATTCATCGCGGGTGATTTCCCTGTTGCAGGGTGAATTGATCGACGATAAGCCATTAGAATGTTTGCCAGCTCGCGATTCATACTATTCGAAGTGCAATTAGCTGAACGTAGTTTGGTCTTTACCGTTTGCACAAACCTTTCCGCTTGGCCATTAGTCGCGGGGTGGTACGGTGCGCCTTGTTTATGTGTGATGCCGTTGTTTTTCAAGAAACTTTGGAACGCCTTTGAATTAAACTGCGTTCCGTGGTCGCTCACGAAAACGTTGGGCAACCCGAAAGTAGCAAAAATATCTTCGCACGGTTGTATTGTAGTTTCAGTATTCATATTCGGGACAATATGTACTTCGGGCCACTTGCTAAACGCATCTACAAGTACGAATAAGTACCTTCCAAATATTGGGCCTGCATAGTCCGCATGGACTCTTTCGAACACCTTTGTAGGTGTTGACCAACAATGCACTGGTGTATTCTTTTTCGGTTCTGCTCTTACCAACTGGCATGCGTTGCAATTCGATACCAAGTTTTCGATATCTCTATCCATGCTGTGCCACCAACAATATGCTCGACCAAGACTTTTCATTTTCGACATTCCGAAATGAGCTGTATGTAGTTCCTGTAGTACTCGCTTGCGTAAGGGTTTTGGTATGTAGACCCTGATACCACGCAAAAGACAGCCTTTCTGTAGCGTAAATTCCATCTGTTCTACTCCAAATCGGTCCTTTGCATCGCATTCGCGACCATATTTAAGACATTCGACCAGTTTGTGTACTTCCCGATCTGCTTTTGTTTTTGTACTTAGCTCCTCTACGGTCACTGGCATGTTTTGTATCGCTTCGTACTCAATGCTATCCACCTTTTCAATACAATAGTATTTTTCCGGGCAAGGTAACCTCGACATTGCATCGGCGTTGGTGTTCTCTGCTCCCTTTTTTGTTTTTATTACGTAGGTAAAAGATTGTAGAAATATCGCGTAATGTTGCATCCTGGTTGCGGAACATGTTGGTAACCCTTTTTGCGGCGAAAATATCTTGCGACTGCTTTGTTATCTGTAATTAAAGTGAATTTCCTGCCGAATAAGTATTGGTAAAATTTCTTCACCCCAAAAATAATTGCATAAGCTTCTCTATCAACGTGACTGTAAGCTTGTTGCGTTCTGTTCAACGTTTGGGAGGAAAACTGTATCGGCCTTTCCGTGCCATCCGCAAATGTATGGCTCAACACTGCACCCACCCCGGTCGGGCTCGCGTCCACAGCTAGTGTAATTGGTAATTTAGGATCTTAGTGGGTCAGCACAATGTCCGATTGCATAACGTCTTTTATTGACTGTAAGGCATTTTCACATTTGGCATCCCAATTGAACTCAACTTTATTCTGCAACAATCTATTCAACGGATATAGAATACTACTTAGGTTTTTACAAATCTCCCGTAGTAGTTAATCAACCCCAAGCAAGAGCGGACTTCGTCTTTGTTGGTTGGCGTTTTCATGTTTTGAATAGCCTCCACTTTTTGTTTCATTTTGTGGATGCCTTGTTTATCTATGAGATAACCGCAGTACTCAATACGATCTGCTAAAAATTGTGACTTACCAAGGTTGACCCTCATATTGTGATTTTCTAGACGGCGTAAGATTTCTTCCAATCGTTCAAGGTGTGTTGCATCGTCGGGTGCAGTAAGTTTGATGTCATCGAGGAACACAGTAACTCCCGGAATGTCTCCCACCAACTTCTCCATGAACCTTTGCCAAACCGCTGCAGCGCAAGCAATGCCGAACATCATCCTTGTAGGTTGGTATAAGCCCCGATGGGTGCTCAATGTTAGCAGGTGCCGATCGTCCGGATGAATTTGCAATTGTAAATACGCCTTTGACAGGTCAATCTTTGTAAACTTTGTACCTCCTGCCGTATTCCTGAAGAGTTCGTCTATTGTCGGTAGTGGGTGTTCATCTATGCGTAGTGCAGGATTCAACGTAAGCTTGTAGTCGCCACAGATTCGCACTTTGCCTTCCACTTTTTGTACCACGACTATGGGTGAAGCCCATTCGCTCTTATCCGTTTTTTCCAACAATCCTTCACTCACCTGCTTGTCAAGTTCTGCCTCTACAGCCTCCCAAAGTGGGAATGGTACTCGCCTTGATTTAATAAAACATGGTTTGCTGTTTGGTTTTAAGTGTAACCTTACTTGATGCCCAGCAATAGTTCCGATTGTATCCGAAAACAAGTTTGGAAATTTCTTTATAATGCTTTTCACCTGATCTTGCGGTTTATTTTGTGAAATACTCTTTACTACACCATCTGCGTCGAGTTGGTCGTGGAAAATTTTTGACCAATTTAACTTTACAGCTCTAAGCCACTCCCTGCCTAGCAATGGTTTACGATCCGACCGCACTATGTATAGTTTTGCTTTTGTATTTCCTTCGTCGCAACGTACCTGGACGTCAATGTATCCAAACATTCCAACCTTGTGTTGCAATAGCTATAGAAGATTGTATCACTCTCCTTCACTTTAGCTTTCGAAAAATATTTCTTTGCGTCAGCCAGAATGATTATGCTTACAGGCGAGCCTGTATCAATTTCAAAAGAAATTAGTTCACCCTCCACATCTAAAGAACAAAGTATTTTACGTCTTGGCTCAGCTTTGTTGTTTAAGCAACTTATTTGGAATAAGTCTTCTACCTTACAGTCAGTATTTTGCCGTAGCGTTTCCTTTTCATCAGAAATTTGGTTAATTTGCTTCTTTTTCTGCAAACACATCTTCTTCAAGAGCCCCTTCTTTTTGCAATAGTGACACATTGTTTCTTTATATGTGCATGCGTTTGCCAAATGTGCAGAGCTGCCACATCTGAAGCATTTGACACTTTTGCCCTGTTTATCATTGTCTTTGCTTTGTCTCTTGTCCTGTGTCAGTTTGTGTTTACCTTGTATTCGTATTTTGTCTACGCTTGTTTCATTTGTCTTTGCGCAGTTCCGGATTTCGATCCCGCCTTTTTCTGCTGCTTCGTAGGCTTTTGCAATGTTAACGGCTTCATCCAGTGTGAGCTCTCTCTTTTCCTCTTCCTTGGACCTTGGAGCTTGCTAATCCAAAAACAAATTGGTTGCGGAGTGCCGTATTTAAGTACGTTCAAAATTTCGTTGGGTTTTGGGTTATAATGCTCCTCCAATGTGTTAACGATTTCCGTATACGTAATGTCTTCTGGTGTACGTGGTAGGATTTTATCGCAGAGGACATCATATGCTGCCGCACCTATGTAATGAAGTAAGAATTGACGCTTTTTTTCCTGATCGCTGTTGAATATCACCAGAGCTGTTTCAAACCGTTTCACCCAACGTGACCACCTTGTCGTATTCGGGTTGAAAGCATCAAATTGAAAAACCGCCGCTGGTGTTACAGCCTCCGGTGTAGGTGCCATTTTTCTTTGTACGCAAGAAATGTTCTACCGTTCGCGTGCTTCGTCCTCGTCGCCAACTGTTACAACCTATCACTTTGCTTGCCAATTGCGAACTGTTTTATTATGTTCTTTCGTTTATGTTACATGCTATATTTATATGAGTGTGTTCTTATGCATACATAATAATGATACAACACTTATAGAGCGATTTTTAATCTTCGTTGCTTAACACACATTTTTTCAATTACTTCTTGTGTTGTAATCGGCACATCACTACCACTACCACAACCACTAGCATCGTTAAACCATTCAGCCGCTTCTTAATTGTATAAAAAGAAGGGACAAATAAGATAGCATATTCAACAATTGAGTAGTCCACTTGCAAAGTGCGCTATGTAAATTTTTTTAAGATTTTTAGTATTTGGTGGGTTTCATGTCCACTAACAGCAGAGTGAAAAATTTTTCTATATTCTGAAAAAAATAGCATGAAATGTTAACTCCTCTTGCAAAAGTCGCTATAATACTTATTTATACACTTTCAAATATCTCCTCTTCGTATGAACTTAGAAAACTGCAAGAAAACGTGGTAGTTTCGTTGCCTAGTGGAAGAGGTCGCGAAAAAGAAGAAAACCAATCTTCCTAGAGGAGAGAACGCGAAAAGCTAAAAAAGGCAAGCTATGTAAAAGTTACTGTTTCAAAACTTGCATAATTAAATTTTTAAATATAAAATTTGCAAATCTACCATACTGCAATTTTATTTTTTTAATGGTATTAGGCTCTTATTTATCCAAATTTTCAGGTAATAAAAAAAGATACAGTTCGGATGTTGCTTGTTGTCAGAGACGTTTTTTTTTTTTAATTTATGGTTTACTTTTATAAAATCACATAACGCTGTTTGCAAGTGGACTACTCATATATTAATTAAAAGATAATTTGTCATCCGTCTGAAATAAAAAAAAATTTTAATCAGAAGGATAAAATAGTATTGTGTTATTAATTCAAAAGTAAATAATTGTAGTTCAATGACGAAGGGGGGGCGGAATCTATCCTCCCATATCCCCCCTGGCTACGCCACTGATTAGGGTTATAAGAAAAAGGGGCGTGGCACTTCCAGTACAAATTTACTTTTTCTTGCCACATATCCCTGGAAGTGTTTGTGGAAGAATACTGGAACTTGGTATGGAGTTGTGTATACAAAATGTATCAATTGCTCATGGAAAATATGTGAGTTATTAACAAGTAATTTATAGCAAAAAAAAACCCACTGCAACTCTCATATAAAAAAAATATATATATATATATATATCTCATGATCCACTGATCGGATCTTAACCAGATTAGTATGGGACCACCTCTGAGATACTACCTTTCCGATGCAAAATTATCGAAATCGGTTAACGTGGTCCAATTTTATGCGGTAAAAAACAACATAAAAACAAAATCATATTCCGACGAACTGATAACCTCCTCCTTTTTTGGAAGTCCGTGAAAAAAGAAGGCATGTCGCCTCCCATACATACTAAAAACTTCTTAATACATATCTCTGGAAGGATAGAAAATCTCTCGAAGTATTTTAAATTTGTTATGGAGATTTATTTTATAAGTGCCGTACTGACAGAATAAATTTCATTAAATGGAAAAGGGAGAGCCGGGTTCGCCGTATAATCTTAAGCTCTCTTGAGGCATTTGCTACAATAATGAGAAGTGGTATTTTATCAAGGCCAGGTTACTAAATTTGAGTTGGAAATATTAGAACCCGCCGTGGCACCTCCAAGAAGGTTACACGTTCACGCGTCGTATACCTGGAACCATTTTAAGGTAAACTTAGAGGGATTGATATCTTTCGTATGCCTAGCGCGCAGACGAGATTTTATAATTTCATAGTTTTAAACGGGCTAAATACCTTAACTGACTTAAAAAATAACGAGCTATAACGAAATGGGCACAGAAATAAAATCTAGCATCATTAAATTATTTTTCATATTTGTATAAAACGCGGGGTGAAACCCGTGGGTATAAGCTAGTAATTAATATTTTTTTATAAATATCTAGCTCATTACACATATAACACCGTGCGATAGTAAATTTTAAACACAAATATCAATATATTCGCGAAAACATGGACCAAATATAGAAAAATTGGGTTTTTGGTTTTTCACTCTGACGTCAGTAGTTCAAAAATGATTTATAAAATTCAGAGAAATGTGCTTAGAGAAGACGCATGGGTATCAAATTAAAGAGGAAATCCTGTATAATTTAAACAGTTCAAAGTTTTTGGTGCAGAAGGAATGGTAAGTAATTAAAATGTCCTTTTAAAATTTTATCCTTGAAACTTCGCAATATTTGTTTTTAAAAAAATTATAGATATGTTAAGGACTTATATAAACTAGATAACGTCCTTGTATTTCATCCTTCTAACTTTATCAGCTTAAAAAATTACCTATTCGTCCTTGAGAATCCAAAAAATTTAAATTTTTTTAAACTCTAAAAAAAATTCTTTTGCATTTGGCACCCATATATATTTTTATTCTACATTCCATTGAATTTTTTAAATAATTTTTGGAATTAATCATATCTTTGAAATTACGAAATCCTTTAAAATAAATCCTGACGTTAGAAAAAAAACGCCTCTTTAAATAAAAAGTAGGTTCAAACCTATTTATTTATTATTTATTTTATGGTAGGAAAGCTTCTCAAACAATATAGAAGCAATTTTTTCAATTTAAGCTGTTGAAAAGTAATGAATATCTAAATCCCGGGACTAATCCCGGGATTGTGATAACAACGTCCCGGAAACCCCGCGATCTGAAAAAGCTGAAAAATTAGCATCCCTAGTTTGCACTATACATTTTTTTGCAAATGTCGACGTGGGTTCTGCGCAAAAATACTGTAGATGGCATAGTGGGAGTGATATGTACAAGAAGTGTTGTATACCTTTGACATGCGGAAGCAAACGTCAAGCTGTGAGGTTGTACTTTATTGTGCTCTGATTTTGGCTTTCTATTTGCTAATTTTTTTGTGCTAATTCTGAGTTAAAGTAGTGATAAAAAGTGCTTATGAGCATCTTAGTGCGAAATAATTGAAGCTAAGTGAAAGTTATTGTGTTTTATATTAAACTAAATTTAATTAAATTTCACTAGCATACATTCTAATCTTGCCGAGTCATTTGTTGTTATCATTGTTGTTGTAT